ATTCAGTCCATTTTTTAAAGCTATTTTGTACAAGCAGCACCCTTTTGAAAATATTCTGCAAATTATCTGCCATTGTTTAGAATTGATACAGTTTGGTCCAAAACTAAAGACTCTGAACCACTCTGAGGGCATAAATTACAAAATAATCCGCTTTTCCACAAGGGGCAGCAACAAAATCTGCTCACCTCTCTAACTTAAACAGCACAAAGTCTGCTTAGACTATCAAGGCACCCCGGAAATAGCAAGCCACAAGAGTGCGACAAACAAACAAAAGAAGTAGAGTACAATGACGATAGTAAAGATTAGGAAAGAAAAAGCAGCAGTTGCCTGTTGTAGTTCAGGCACACTTATGAGCATGACATTGTTGGACCAGCCCATTCACAATTCTACCTGGGCATTAGAAGGAGAAATGTCCCCCTTTTGGAATGGCCTAAAGCAGAGCTTCCAGCAGCTGATGTCATTTTTCAAGGATTTTCGGGTCCAGGGCTGAACGGCGCCCCCCTTATGTTTGCGAATTTTTGGTTTCAGGGCATCCTAAGGTATGCCATTTCTGACTATTCAAGCCTAAATTTAAAACAAGAAAATAAGTGAGAAAAAACAAACATACCCTGCATAGGCCTCCATAATTTTCTGCTTGTGTTAATCCATATTTCTAAATCCAAAGCCACGCTTTTTCCCTTGTACCGATACTGTACATCCACAACTAGATCTATAAGACTTGACAGTTAGTTAATGTCAACTTTTTTCTGCTAGTGTTGGTTTGCACAATAATCATCATAAGGTGTAGAATCCTTATAATAATAGTACGAAGTGGCTAGCCGTACTTAAGTACTGCTAGCCGGAGTGTCTAGCCGTACTTAGATTTAGGTTTGGCCCTATCGACTCAAACCTGTTGAGTACACAGGTCTCATTAGATCTAGATCTAGTAATTATTCAGGTGTAAATACAAAAAGTCAGTAAGGCACCTTTCGTTTTTTTCTGAAATACAAATACTTTAGGCATTGCAAACTAAAAATTTCATTTATAATTCAGCCATCAATATTATTATTAAGTAGGGTTAGCCTGCCAGTCTAGCCGTACTTATCTTAGGCCCTATTAATTAACATTAGATTAGAAAACAGGTTTAAAATACATGCACTGTCATTAAGGCACCTGGTTTCGTCTCAAATACAAATACTTCAGGACCTGCAAACCAAAAAATTATATTTACAATTCAGTAGGCCTATTTTTTTATTTAATGGTCAGTCTAGCCATCATATTAAGAATAAGTACGGCTAGCCCGTCATTAAGTACGGCTAGCCTCTTCCATAATAGTATTTTAACAGCTTGATCTCTATATTAAATATATATATCTAGATCTAGATCTAAATAACTTGACAGCTTATATTCAACTTAAATCCACAACAACACTTACAAACAAACAAGTCTGGTAAAAAAAAAATCAAGCTCTCTTTAGAGTTTTCTTTTCTTGGCAGGCCCAAGACATATATATATATATATATATATTGAACCACAATCGCCATTTCTTCCTCTTGTTTACAGAGCTGGTGCTCTGCTTCTTGAGCTTAAAAAAGTGAAAGTGAAAGACACTGTCTACACTTTCAAATAAAAGAGCACTTCCGGTATGGGTTTGCTATTGTTGACTATTAGTAACGGAAATTTTTTATTTCGCATTTTTGAAAATAATTTTAAAATTTTTATTAAAATTTTTTTTTAAATTGCACAAATTTTCACGAAATTTTCCATTTGCTGAATTCAGCTAATTTGCGGAAATCCGCAAAATTGCGGAAGACTGAAAGCCCTGCTAAAGACATTTCACTGCCCTGGGGTGTTATCTATACTCTCAAAACAAATGAGCCTCGCGAAATATCACTTCTGGCACACACATTTGTTTCGTTTCTCAGAGGAATAATCACAAAGACCAAAGAAGGAGGGGAACTTTTTGTCAAATATATTTTTCTAAATTCAGGAAATGAATAAATCAAAAATCAGGCTCCGCCATGGGGAACTATATCTATCTCTTTGCAGGTACTTGTCAACTTTCAACTCTGTAGTTGCCGTAGTTTTACGAAAAAGGGACAAATGTGTTTCTGAGTCGCCAAATATTAGATTTCACTTACTTTCCAAGAACCCTAACCCTTAGGACCGATCTCAGGCTACTCAAGGCCAACTGCGGCCCAACTTCAGGCCGGGGTGGAACGATTGCCGCGTGGTTAAAACCGCGGAGCAGATTTTGGGAAATTCTCTAAAACCGTGGAAAATCACAGATCCGCGGAAAACTGTGATCCCTGTCCACTCCAAATAATGTGCAATGATGTGTCTCAATACCAGCAGTAGGGTTTCTTGTTCAGTGTTGAAGTAAGAGAAAGATATAAAGAGTGATGATGATGAATCTTATAACTAACATACACACAAGTAATTTTTTTTAAAAACAATTTATACATAATATTGTCCTCGCTTCCGATCACGATCACACTGTTCAAAGCATGCCACCAATCCCTCTTGTATAAAATTACATCCTGATCCATAGGGCCTACCTTTATTTATGTTCAAACCGAAACAACCCAACAAATAATACAAAATTAATATAATTCACACACCACCCACCCAAATACAGCAGCTCACTACACCATCTGTCTTCAATCCTCCATACCCTTACCCATCCTCACATGACTATATTAAAGGAAAGTCTTACTTGTACTTTACACATACTTAAAGCAATGTGACAAAACGAATCTCAATACCAGCTGTGTGTGCACTCTACACAGGGAAGCGAGTCTGGTGAGCTCATTATATAACCTGATACTCTTGATGATGAAGGGTGTTGTTTGGATTTGTGCCCACAAGGCAATTTGAATTCAAGACAATTTTGTGAGAAAAATATGATCTGCTTTTTCCGGAAAAACTATTCACATATCCGTCTATGGGTATTTAAGAAAACTGTTGCCACTACAAAACCGCCTCTTGAAAATCTATGAACTCGGCTGTTTCACAATGTCGATCGTCAAGTAGCCAGAGACTTTTCATTGTTCAATTTCTTCGTTTATAACTCTACTTCCTTTCTAAATTATAATGTTTTTAGTACCAGTGTGTACAACAGAATGTTCACAGGGTGCTGGAGCCTTAAATTATAAATTATATTTTTTAAGAGGTGTTTATGTTGAAGGCGAGTTTTTTTTAATTTAATTGAGGTTTTGTAGAACTACATTTCAAAAAATAATTTTAAAGTCCTTTTTCTAAAAGTCTTAGACTAAGGCATGTGAAGAGCAGATGCCGGAAAACACTTAGAAAATAGTCTAAAATCCACCCTATAAAAAAAAGACTCTTTGCGCTGTACAAAGCAGAATTATCAAAAGTGCTCAAAAGTTCAAACAAAAATCTAAAGACAGAAAATGCACACATAAAATAACTTACCATATTTAACACTAACACACTTACACTTACACATACACACACACACAGACACACACACAAAAACACAACTCCAAGACCCATGCATAATTCACTGGCAGAGGATAGCGTGGTGAACAAAATAGACGAACTTTAAAAACTCTGACGATGTACTCATTTCTTTTGAGGGAGGAATTCAAAGTTTTAGTTTTAGGGGCAATGAAAGCCATCATTACCCTAGATTTATAACTTGAAATTAAGTTTGGGTCTATTAGAGATCAAGTAACAAGGAAACAGCTCTTGAGGGTATATTTTCCCTTCAATTATAGGTTAAGATAGGGCTGGGGGGGGTTTTCGTTTTTAATTTAGTGCCTATTGCACAGCACAAAAAAACAAAAAACAGAAGCACTGATATTGACATGTAAGGGATTATTCTTCAAAATAAAATCTAAAATTAAAGCACTTTGGAAAGAAAGACTTGGAATATCATATTATCGAAGGCCTCATATTATATATCATGAATCAAGCAGGACCTGAATCAGCAGACCAGTCCCCTTGAACCAGGAAGTAAACAAAAAGAGAACTACACTTGTGTCTCAAAGTAAGGCTCCTCAAAGTAAAGTCTAACCCAAGTCTAATACCTCTATTCTTCATACAATAAAGCAAGCCTGCACCTTCAACAGTTTGTAACATGTTTGACTTTGAAATTAAACAACTTCTGAATTAGATCTAGCCCTCTATCTAGTCTTCATTATTCTTCATCAATGAAACCCATTCAATTTGATGAGAAGAGAAGGCTCTTTGAACAAAATATCCAAGTCCTTGATTTATAATTTACTTGGTTGAGGACAACAAAATTCTGCACTCATTTTGGCCTCGATATGTTTTATCGAGATACAGTTTACTGCCAAAAACTTCAACAGTAAGTTTACACAGTTTAAAGCCAACTTTAGCCCCCCAAAACTGGGTTCTAACTCGACTTTCTTCCAGTCACTGTGAACCTCATTTTTGTAAATTGTTAAATCTCTTTTTTTGAACCAAGCAGTCGTCTACTGTTGAACAGCGAAAAACAGGACAAGTAATAGATCTATGACATCTTCGAAAAATGAATGAGGATCACTTTCCGTTTTGGGAAGTAGCAATTGCAAGCAAGCCCCCCTCGGTATTCCTTTGTCACCAAGTCCAAGTGTTAGTGTGGAGACTTACTGTACAATTTTTAATGATACCTACTTGTCACCAAAGGATTTTTTCCACCAGTCAGCAGCATCACCTTTCGTTATCCTAAAGTTGTCTCCTGCAAATGTCCCACTTGGGTAAATTGCCTTTACCTCCGCCAACATGTGTGAAAACACAAGACTGAGTTTCGTGAGGTTTCGACGATAATGTGAATTTTCATCATACATTTTATCTTTACCATCACGAAACAGCTTGATGGTGTTCTTACATTTATTCATAAGATTTTCTATAAAAGTTCTGAAATACTCGCACTCATTCAACGTTTGTAATTTGTCGTCATGTTTGGAACAAATCATTACGATCGTGCGTAAGTGTTGATAAGTATCAGGAAGAATGTCCAAGATGAATGGCGGACTGTTCCGTAGATTCATCCTCGGATGTTGACACAATTTCACCACTTTGTCCATCATTTTCCATGATTTTTCTATCGTTTTTCTGTCAACTACAACCAGCTTCGGCGGAACAAGAACGCCCTGTATCTTGCTCAGCATTGCACCCAGGTTTTTCTGAGTACTGCCCAGCGCCATCTTGGCTTTTCTGTCTACCATTGGTAGAGGCATCCGGCGGAAATGGCATCGTCACAGGAACATGGTAGCCTAGCCCTGAAACTCAGTTCAAAATGAGTGGGTGTTGCCCACGATGGAGGCGTGTCTGTGTGTGTGTGAGTATGTGTGTGCGTGCGTGCGTGTGTGTGTGGATGTGTGTGTGCGTGTGCGTGTGCGTTTGTGTGTGTGTGTGTGTGTG